TCAACCTCAGCAGAAACAACAAATTTTACAGCAGCAAGCAGCATGGTACAGACATACAGGAAGACACCTATTCCCCTTGCAGAGCTGAGAGTCTGTATCAGCTGCCCCACTAACAACCCAGAGAAGGATTTGGGTGTAAACAGGATGCTGGCTATAGCTACAATGTATGTGATTGTATACACCAGGCAGTTCCAACCTATGATTGCTGTCTGTCTTCAAAGTCCTACTGATGTGAATGCTAACATGAAGTAACATTCAGCATCTTTTCTCTGTCACTTAAACACATGCTGTATGTCCACTGAGATGTAGATACACAAACAACTACGTGCATGAGAACAGGTACATATATACCTAATTCCTATCTGCATGGATGTACCATATATGTAGGCTCTCATGCTTTCTTGAACATTAGCTTTCCAAAAGTGAGTATGATCAACTTTTTCTCTGTACTTTTACCTACATAGGGTGGTATTTCTGAAACAGATGATGAGAAAAGGGCATTTTAGAAATGACAACCACAGCAAATCATGTTCTTGTTCAGTATTAGAATGTTAAACTATGCCCCTGAGAGCTGCTTTGGAAAGGAAAGCTTAAATATTGTCCTCCACAAAGAGTATGCCGGAACAATAATGTTTCATAAAACATTAACACTAAGATATTCAAAACATCCTTGGATTTGCTCCATCAAAATCATGCCCTTTTTTTTTTTCTTTAATACCAGTGGCAGTATCAATTTCTAACTATTCCCTTTCTTGTACACGGTTACTGCTAGCAAAACAGGGACACAGCTGAAGACAAGCAGGCTTATTTTACTAAATAATGTAACTAGTTATTTTTGATGTATTAGTCTGATTTACTGTTTCCAAACAAATTTTTCATTTTAAGTGCAAAAAGTTGATTTCTATGGTCTGGCTGATGTTTTTTCATGCATGCAAATTTTTTAGAGAACATTTTGTCTTTAGCTTCCTGTTATGCACATTTTTAAGAGCTTAATGTTTCCTGCCTTCACTTAATATGAAAGAACATTGCACATTTTTGCTGAATGTCAATGAGATAGTTACATTACAGAAATTGTGCCTAAATGACTCTGATACTGTGACTAGGTATCAGCAGAATTCCACCCCATACTGGAAAAGAGTTTAATTAATATAATGCAACCAACATAAAATGGAATCTCCCCAAAATACAATGCAAAGGGTAGGAAACTCAACTACCAGTAAATATTGAACTAAGCAGGGTTCTCTTTTTAAAAATAAAATAAAATAATTTAAAAAAAAAAGTCTTGCAGAGGCTCCAGAAGTACATTTACAATTTATTTAGGTGAGTTAATAGGGGTTTTGTCTCATTAGGCAGGAGACGAAGCAGCATCAGCCTCTCCCTAAGCACCTTCAGTATTTTACTAACAAAGTTACAGTACATCGGAATATTTTAATCTGACACAAAGAACAACAATAGATCTGACTGCTGGGCTGATAATCTTCTTATCACACCCTGTGAAACCTAGCTCTAATATTTGACTGAGCCTCCATTACTCGGCAACACATTCTAAAAAGGCCAACAATGGAGAGAGAATGAAGTGGAGTGTGGAAGTACCTCCATATCTACATAAAAGAGATTAGAGGCGACAGCGTTCCATTTTACAGCTCAATCATATTGTGTTAGCATGCGCTTATCCGAGCGCGGATGAAATTGAAAGAGAAATAAAAAAGAGTCAGGCAGATAGGAACCAGAAAAGCGAGGCATGAGCAATTTCCAGGGATATAAAAGGATGCTAATGGCGGGGCCCTGTCATTCTTAAAAAGGGCTATTAGGGCACCATCATCTGTTCTTGTGCCCTTACGCTCCTCTAACTAAAGTCAAGCATTTCCTAATGCCATTGTGATCTTTTTCTTCTTCAGATAAGACATGGTCATGTTTCATAACAACACACTTTCCATTTATTTGATTTATAAATGCAAGGAGACTAATTCTATTTACTGATAAAGGCTTTCCATATATACTTTTCTTTCAATATTTCCTTTTGTAGATGGCATAGACTTTTTGTTCAATAAAAGCAACAATTGAAATGTTTCCAATAGCACAAAAATACTAATGATTTTATGAAAGCATTTGAACTTTGTGTAATTTTAAAATATTTTTTAGTCTGTGACTGCAACGGGAAACAGTAGGCCAGAGCAGAACACATATTGCATTGTTACCTTCTTATAGATAATCTCATTAAAAGACTTTCTGTTAGAATAGCAAAAACATTATTTTGGTTTCTTCCACAAAGACAAACCTTACTTTGAATTGCAATGCTTTACAGCTGAGATCTTTATTAGTTATTAAGCACCTGATATATAAGGGCCTTTAATTACACTGAACCTTAAGAAATCGCTATAGTAAAGAAAGATTTGCTGATTGCTGCTTTGCTGTGCTAGGCACAAATTCACTACTCGTATAATTAATCGATTCCAAGAGATTTACACCAAGGATTTACTTAGTCCGCTAAGCTACACTGAACTTGTATGCAATTTGCACCCTTTTTCTAACTCATCCTTTTTCCGATTGTGTTATGTCTCTGCCTACAGTAACATTTGTTAGCTTGGAAAACAGTCAGCTAGCACCAATCCAGGCTCTTCTACAAGTTGCTTTGTGCCAGCCATTAGCTGAGCGTAGGCAGTCCAAGTTCAGCAGTACTCCATCATTCAAAACCAAGCTACAAAAGCTCATCACATTTGCCCTTTAGCATGTCAAGCCCTTTTGCATTTTGATTTTTGTGATCAAATGCCAGACAACAAGCACAAATTTTATCGGTGCCCTCTGTTACCAGAACGCTTATAAAAAGATTGTCTTTATTGCCTGTTTTTTTTTTTTCCTCTCATTCCTAAACAGAGTCAGGTGAGTAAACTTAGCTAGCTTAGTTTGAGTTTACCTTGTAATAAAAGGCTGCCTCACAGCAGAAATGTTCCTCAACTGGTTCAGAACGCAGACTTTAAATTTTAAAGGCCAGTGTACAGCATCCAGTACCTTTTCCACACTAACCAAAGCCATCATTTTATAGGCTGCTCAGTCTCATCCCTATGCTCTTCGTACCCCTCCAGCCAAATCAAAGCCACACAGCATATTCACAAATCTAACTGACAAAAGGTCCCCTGCAACTACTATGGAGCATGATTGACTTCTCTGAGAGCTATTCTATTTCGGTTAAGGTGATCTAGGTATCTTCCAAAGATGAAACTCAAACTCACCTATTTAACTCATTTTGACTTAATTTGGGGTGTTTTATTAGCAACCAGTGTAAGACAAAGTAGCTAGTATAATACAGAGTGATGTTTAAATTAGTTTACAATTTGCTTGTGCTCATCTAGAACTGCTCTGAACAAAGCCATTCAGAAATGTCAGCTGTGTTCCTAACCACTGTAACAAATTGTTGCCTGAACGCTGCACACCTAATGACTTCAAATTAGCTTCACTGCGATATTGCCTGACAGTTCGTTACGACTGTTAGCAACATAGCTGGCGTATCATGACCAATAAATTGGTTTCAGTGTGGGCTGGGAAAGGGACTTCCATCAATTTGATTAAAGAAATTACTGTAGCATTCAAAGCATAAAGACAAACTAGTTTAAGGAGACAGAAATAAGTTAACTGTACCAGAAAAATACTGCTCGTGATACAAAAGCTTGTTTATACACCATTTGTGGCACAGAGAATGGCTAAATTTCAACTGTGTTGCATATCATTTTAGAGTCTGTAGGTTGTTGTCTCTTACCCGAAGTAAAATGATGCTCCATAAATATACAATTTTTTAAAAATTATTATTATTCTGTTAGTGTTTATATTTATCAACGACAACCCAGAAGCATGTACCAGAAGAACTGAGGTCTTGTGCTGTTCAGCACAAGGGAAGAAGACCCAGGAAGACTATTTCTTTCAGATTTCTTTTGATACTAGAAATAAAATATATTTAACTTCAATAAACAAATGACTGACTGGATTATTTATTCTACTATTAAGGTATCCCAAAATCACATCTAAAATGAGGATCACCTATTACTCAGAGGAAGTAAAGCTTATTCTGTCCACTCAAAATTAGAAAACTAACAAGCTGATGAAAATGCACCAACATGCTCATTCATCTGCTGGACTAGAAAAATATCCTAAGAAACAAGAAAAAAAAGGCTGATTTTTTTGTGTGACTTTACCACTTGTGAAAGATGATAGACTGAGAACCCTGGAGACTCTCTATAAGTCTGTCTTCTAGCTCAGAGAGAAAGCACAAATACTTCACCACTGGAAGGAAATAGAATATACCTGAAATGTTATCTGAAGAAATCACTAATTTTCTGAGAAACTGCTTTTGATGACCCCGCTTTTCTGGCTAATGAGAGTGCTAGTCAGCTTTTATAAAATCAACACATTTATGTGATGGAGACTGCAGCCCATTTCATGCAGACCAAGGAACTACCAAGCTGTAAGAAGAGATCTTTTGTCACAATTCAGGTCTTTCTACTGAACTGCTGCTACAATTCAGTTCTCACCCTAGTTCATTCAATGAAGAGAACAATTTCTCTGGGCCATGCCAAAATACAACTGAATTTTTGCACCTCCTGTGGTCAGTATAAGATAGTGCTGCACTTATGTAATAGAAGAACCAGACTTACATTCAACTACCGCTCAATCAGATGAGTACAGAGGAGAGGACTACCTACACTTCGTACCAGGCTAATGCTCTGGATAGCAAGGTAAGTTTATCTTAATAGAAGTAATACACGAAAAAAAAATAACACTGAGCAGCATGTAAAACTTGTCAACATAGTAACACTCATAGCAACAATAATACTATGTCCAAGGTAAGATATATTATCATTTAACCTATGTCCTATGTGAATAATCTGGAGCCTTAAGAAAATTTTATGCATTGCAGTGAGAGAACAAATCATATTTGTTTAATAGAACAGAATATCCCATGCAATCATTTCTGTATGTCATCTATTTGCAACAAATACTGTATGTACCTGGAATATGCTTAGCCCATCCAATGATCACCACCAGTTCTCTGTCCGCCAGGTCACAAAGAGTGGTAAGTGCTTTGATGTCACTGTCTGGAACAGTGGGGTCAGGCATAGCATAGATCTTCTCTGGTTCAGCCACCAGCAAGTGGGAGACAATCTTGTTATCTGTAAAAATGGTCCAGAACAGTAAAAGATCATCAGTAGCATCATTCCACTTTTCAAACAGATTTGTCTTACGATACTGGACCTAATTAAACTTTATTGTAACTTCACTGGCTTCTACAAGTGGTTACCACACAGAAAATCTGATCCATCAGCAATGTTTATCAAGCTAGATGTGTATGTTCTTAAGACAGTAAATTTAATGCACTGTAGAAATACATGATCGCCTCCTAATACTGGAATACAAACTTTGTAGAAAAAAATTGATGCATTATAATGTATTTTGGACTGTGCAGACAGAGAAGTTTTGCCTTCTTCCAATTACCTGCAACCCATCCCCAAAGACAGGTGTGGTTTTTAAGCAAGTAAATACCACAAGCAATTATCAGTCACTGAAATCCGTAACTTCTGTCATGAATTCCAACTACCACTCTTTATTCTAGATATCACTGTTAAACTGTTGCAACAGGAATGGTCTCAGGACTTTCTCAGTGCTCATTATCCCATATACCTTATCTTATGGTTATCCTGTCTGCTGAAATGTTAAGAATGAATCTGTACTCCTTAGGGCCTATGCTGTGAGAAAAGCAGGGTGATGTCTTATATTTGCTTTTCAGACACAAATTTAGAATCCTGAATAAAATTAGCTTCTTTAGGTACAAAAATAGATTAATGATCTCCTCTCATTTCCAGCCAGGAATAGCTATTAAAATCAATGAGAATAAAGAGTGTAAAACTAAGGAAAGTATCAATAGATGCAGACTCTACTTCAGCAAACTGTTTTTGTGCAAAGAATACTTTATGATATTCAGACAGTGGTTATTTTTATCTACATAGCATTTTCATTCATGTGTTTAATATTTACTTTTTCATCCAGATGACTTGTGAAATCTATTTGGAACAATCAATTAAGTTATAAGGAAAAGTGAAGAGAAAAAAAAAAAGAGTAGAAAAGCCTGGAAGATTTACAATACAGTGTTGCTATTCTATATTCTGTAAGCAGGACAAACATAAAATGTGCATTACATCCGTGTGGAGGCACAATGGAAACATCTCTATGCAGGAACCTGATTTGTTACTCTGAGAAGGCAAAACTGAAGAATCAGAAAAGGACTAATTCATTAAGCCTCCTAACACAGGATACATTCGCCAATAAACTTACAATTTACTTTTCATGGTACATACATCTTGTGCCCTCAAACACACCACCAGAATTTAAAGCCCAAATGGCACCCTTTAGTGAATTTACAAGAATCTGTTTCTTTTGTCAGGATAAAGTGTTACGGGGCTTGATATAAATGGGATTCCACTGCAAGAAGGTGAGAAGTATTTCCTGACTGCAGAGAAAGCTGCCAGAATTAGTATCATTTTCCCCTTCCACATGTAAGTCACAGGAAGGACCACACTGTCCTCCTGTGGGGGAGCTGCAATGGAAGCTGAATGGGGATATGACTTGCCCAGGAGTGTCAGACAGGCTCCCCACCAGCCCACGACAGATTACCGTAAAATACTTGCCTGATTCAGATTTCTGATACTTTACTGCTCTTTTGTGACATCGACTCCTCGATTCTGATCTACTGTCTCTACAATTTTTGCCTTATTCCAAATTTACATGTCAGAAGTTGTGATATACGTTAGCTAGCCCTTCATAAAGTAAGTGCAAGAGCCAACTGGAAACCATCACATCAAGCATGCTTTATTACAAGGGGATATATTCATGCTTTATATGAACTATAGGAACTATGCCAACTGAGTAATTCTTGATCTCAATATTCTACTGATTATCAAACTGATTAATGAGGAATTCCATTCTTATTTAAAGATGACAGGTGGTAGTTTTAACATATATTGGCAAACAGCCTTTGCACATAATTTTTTTTTTATTTTTTAAACAGTCTTTTCATATCCTGTTTAATTTCACACAGAAAACACAATCTTTTTAAATAAGAAAAGATAACATTGCTTCTTTCCAAATTCCAATACTTTTACATGTATTGAAAAGTAGAATAAACAAATTAGAGATTCTTAACATCAAAACATATGAAGCTGAGGACTTCAACTTTGTGGGTTTTTAATTGGTAATAAATGAATGAAGAAGCACTCACACCCCCAAGTTCTGTTTGTTTTTCTTCCCTGCAATCAAAAGAAATGGCCAAAGAACCTCTTTTGGTTTTTATTAGGTTCCTCACCAATGGCTTTTTGTTGATGAGTCAGGAATATTGTAAATTTTGACTCAGGCTTCGCAAATCCTCAAAATCTTTTTATATTTTCCAATCACCAAGGTCTACAGGCAGGCCATTAGATTCCATGGTGAAGTCAGAAAATACAATAGAGGCCATAAACAGGTGTAGGAAAGATCCTCCAAACACTTGTTCTTT